CCCGCGCCGGGACGGGGCGGGGCGGGGCGGGGCGGGAAGAGAAGGGAAGGGAAGGAGGGGGCCGCAGGGTCTCCGCGCTGCAGGCGGGGCCGCCGGCGTCGCGCCGCCCCCCGGGTCAGCAGGATAAAATAGCACCCTGAGGAGACGGACAGACAAGCACAAGCTTTCCCCACCTCAGCCTCGCCTCATCAGATCATAAACATCTCAGGTCGGGAGGTCATCTTGTCTAACCCCCTGCTCCAAGCAGGACCAGCCCCAACTAGATCATCCCAGCCAGGGCTTTGTCCAGCTGGGTCTTAAAAACCTCCAAAGATGGAGATGTCACCCCCTCTCTGGGTTACTTCTTGCTGTCCCTTACTATCCTCCCTGGGGAGGAAATTCTTCCTACTGTCCAACCTCAATTTCCCTTGCTGCCACTTGAGGCCTTGCTCTGTCATCCGCCCCCATGCTGATGAAGGGAGCTTCACTTCATGAAAGTGTGTGCTCACTCTCTGCTTTGGTTAGTCTACACACACATGCACACTCACACACGCTTTATGAAGGAAGGAGCTGGGATTCCCCTGAACAGAAAGGCAAAGACCCAGTAGTTTTGCTGCTTTGTGCTCTTTCTTCTTCTACCCTAGAGGAGGTGAATGCTATCCTGCACCGTATTTAGTCCCAGCTCCTCCTGGGAGCGTTCCCCAAGGAGTGGCACTCCACAAACAGTCTCCGGCCCTGCGTGCCAGACAGGCCACCTCTACGTGAGACACTGGCTGCACAGTAGCCCGTGACTAGGACGCAGTAGCGTTCAGTGGCGGGAAGCATGATGTGATGCTACTGCGCAGGAATCTCAGGCTACTGCGCAGTCAGGGCCACGAAAAAGCCATTTGGCCATGCTACGTACCGCACAGTAACTCTGGTTGCTGCGCAGTCATTTAGTATTGGTTTATACGCGTACTAAATGACTGCACAGTAACAGCTGCACAGTCAGTGTCTCATGTAGGCCACCAGCAGACAGATAGCACGAGCTTTTGTGAACTGAACTTCACTTCTGAGCTTCACCTTGCAGAAACCTATTATACTATACATCTGCCTTGGTTAGTCCATTAGGTGCTAAGCCTACCCCACCTTCACACGAGTCCACACCTGCTCTTTATGCTGGACTTCTCATGACTGGAAGGGCAAAGACCTGTAGATTTGTTGCTTCATGCCCTCTTCTTCATCCTACCCTAGGATAGTCTCACACTGCCTTATTCTACTTGGCTTCAGACTAACAGCTAACTACATACACCCCTCCACACTGTATTCAGACCCAGCTCCTCTTGGGAGTGTTCCCCAAAGGGCAGCACTCCATGAAAGGGGTTTGGCTCTGTGTTGCAGACAGACAGATATATACCTGAGCTTCAGTTCACAAATGCTTGATCTGTCTATCTATCAGTCTGTCTATCAATTTATCTTATCTATGCATGCTTTGGTCAGTCTACTGGGTGCTAATCTACTCTGCCTTCGACTTCACTTCAGACTAACATGCTATGTCCCTCCACACCATATTCAATCCCTGTGCCTGCTACAAGCGTTCCCCAGGGAGCAGCACACCACAAAAGGGCCCGGGTTCTGCCAGCCTCATGAAATGAAGTTCACTTCTGAGCTTCACTTCACAAAAGCCTAGCAATATATCTGCCTTGGTTAGTTGCCCACTGGGTGCTAAATCTACCCTGCCTTCTACCTGGCTTCAGATTAACAAGCTAACTACGTTCCTCTACATCATATTCAGTCCCAACTCTTGCTGGGAGCATTTCCCAAGGAGCAGCACTCCACAAAAGGGCTTTGGCTGTGTGTGTCAGAGGGGCCAGTCCTGGGGCACCAGCACCAAAAGGAAGAAGAGGGCATGAAGCAGCAAATCTACTGGGTCTTCGCCCATCCGCTCATGGGAACCCCAACTCCTTCCCTCATAGTATGTGTATGTGGAGGGCAGTTCAGCCCTGTGTGGGACCCTTTGCACTGCTGCTGATGTTGTAGGAAGCTCTGCAATCTCCAGATCCAAGCTCTCAATGCTGGAGTGGCTAATTTTGTGCTGAAATACCATTAAAGGAGTTTCTGCAGTCTTCAGCAATGGGGTAGGAGCAGCATCCTCTGATGGGGATAAATCTGGTCACTTAGGGTGCCATTTACCCCGTGCAGTGTGATTACAAGCTATATACATCATTCTGCTCCTATTCTGAGGGCTTTAGGGAGACCTCAGCTCTGTGCTGTCTGCCTCAGGGTGAATGTTACCCCTAGAGCACAATGGATGTCATGGCATTAGGCATGAGGTCTCACAGGATCAGGCTCTCAGCCCCGAGGATATCGGTCCCACGGTTGCTTCTCCCAGCTGAAGGCACCCTGGTAACAGCCTTCGTGCAGACTGATGAAGCTTGTGGGGGAGGAATTTCCTTTTCTTCACCACAAGCAAGAATTGCTGCTCCTTTTAGACAAATCTGAGCAGTGGGAGAGGCTTGCTTCATATCCCCTACAGGAAAATGATGATTTGCTCTCAATTCTATACTAAAGACATTTGAGTAGATTCAAACTTGAGAATCTGCAAAGTCCCCAGGTGAACAAAAGGGCATGTGAACTCCCAAACCACCTCGAGCAGCTCAGGCTAGGGCATGGATTTCAGCTCCTTCTGTGCATCAGCCTGGGACAGGCATTAGTTGAGCTCAGGAAAAAGTCTCATCTACATCAGGCCTTTCTCTCTAATATTGTCCACTCTGGATGCCACCAGTTTACTAAATAACACTGAGGGCCCTGGTGTAGATGAGGTAAGACAGGCCCTGGCATTTTAACCACCATCTATTGTAGAGTGCGGAAATAGGATAGGTCCTGTTGCAGCCATCGTGACAGAGGCTTTATAGACAGGGGTGATGGCCTCTTCCCCAAAGATCTTACAATCCGCATATACTGTTGATGGGCTGTAAAGGACTGGGGGATTACTCACGCTTAATAAGGTCACATTAGAGGAGCTGGACACAAATATTGCTGGGAGAATGACCTGCAAGACCCTTTCCAAAGCACTGAAAAGAGGCCATGTTCCCCATCACCAGAACAGTCTGATCAGTAACTTGATTCTCCCTTAAGCGGGATGCTCACCAGCAGTGATCATGCCTCAGAATATGAGGCCAAGAATCCATCAACTTTGCTAACAGAGAGGTCTTGCTGGCTGAGGGGGTGAATGATAGACCTGTGGCCTGTGTCAGGTGGAAGAAGGTCTTATCTCAGTTCCCACTGAAGATGCATCCCACCCTCTCAATCAGTTGATGTGGACTGGCTCCTTTGCTGGTGAGCTCATCAGAAGGGGCATGAACTTGGCCATGAAGACCATTTTCTCATCAACTAGGGAATGGTGCTCTGTTAGTATTTTGGCAGGATTAGGGTCAAGGGAAACACAGGCAGCTATGCCTATTAGCAGCTACTTCTCCCACATCTGTACTTCCAGGCATATGTATTTTGTATACATCATTAGAGTGCATTCACCATGGATACTGCTGTTTGCAGATGGGTTTGTAGAAAGCACAGGTGCATGCAACAGGCGAGTGTACTGCAAGTTTGAGCTGCCTCCTAACAGGGGTTGATGAGACTAAAGTTAACATGCAACGGTGGGGATAGTCTAATGCAAACACCATGACCGAATGTGGAGGAAACTTTCAGGCTACATAACACTGCTGGCATGGAGTGCTACCCATGCATGGGGGAACCAAGCACCAACTAGGCTACAGACTGAGCAACAGTATGCAGGGCCAGATCCAGAAGGGATGCAGTGCCATAACTGTACCCCTGTTTTGGCTCAGAGTATGTACCCATTTTTGGATTAAAATTTGAACATGATGAGAGAACATGTGAAGAAGAATAGATGATGCAACATCTATAAATAGAAATCACTCCAACACTTCCAAATTATCGTTTGCACTTTGTAAAATTGTTAATCAGCAGCTCTAAGTTCTTATTAATAATTATCTATCTGTTGTATTTATTATTCCTGGCTCCTAAGCTTTGTTTAGCAAAACTAATATTCAAGCAAGAAAATGGAATAAATCTGAGCTCAAAGCAAGAGGGCTGAGAAACCTAGATGTCGGCACTAGGACCCAGCCTAAAACTGGCTGCTGGATGGGATAGGACCTCTTGCTGTACAAACTTGCAGTAAAATAGTCTGCTTCAGCGTTTTCCTTTTCAGAAATAAGTCCTAAAAAAAATCCCGACACGGAACTTTTAAACACTGATTTTTTTTGCCTTCCTGAATCCCAGCTTGCTGAGGAAAATTGCTAGGGCTTCGCTTCATGAAAATAATTTTTAAGAATCCTTGCAGAAAGACTGAAGACAGCTAAATGACCTCAGCAGCCTCAAGCCCACTTTACACGTTTACAAAATTCCTGGCGAGATTCGGGGGTGGGAATCAATGAGGCAGGAAGGCGAATCTCCAGCCCTTTTGAGAAGGCACCACCCAGCCCTCTTGCAGCCTCTCACATCTGCAGCTGCAGCTTCTTTCCTCTCAGCAACAGGCTCGAAGCAACATGTCCTTGGGCAGCCTCATCTTTCTCATGAGCCTGCTGAGGGCTTTTGGCCTGGGGGACCCTGGTCCTTTAGAAGACGTGGTGATAGACAGATATTACATCCCTAAAATCTGCTTGCGAGAAGTCCAGATGGGGGATTTCATTCGCTACCACTACAATGGGACCTTTAAAGATGGCAAAAAGTTTGACTCCAGGTATAGACCTCTGTTCTTTATCAAACTGCATGCAAATTCCTGTCCCTGGAACTCTATCCCTTTTCTTGTTGCAGCCACACAGGAAGCCGGCTGCAAAGCCCCCTCGGAGCGCCTTCTCTCTGCAAAGATGGTTGCACGCAACTTTCCGTGAGCCTCCCTCAGTTGTGTTCAACCCCAGCTTGAATGTCAGGGAGTGCATTAGCATGCTCTCTATTCCAATCTCTTGCACGCTTTGTTTCCTTCACCTGCATTTGCATGCTATGAATTTTATTTACACCTTCTGCAAGGGCAATGCCAGGATCTCAGAATAGTTTTGCATGTAGGGTAGATTCAAGGGGCTGGCATCTGCTTTGAAAGAGCTCAGGCAGTTTCTGAGGTCCCGGTTCTCCCCTCCACTCCACCAGCTTTACACCAAGGTAACGACTCCAGAGGAGTCAGAGTTGTTACAGTAGTGGGAAATCAGGCCTGAGATCCCACGGTCTGATAGGCCAGAAGCAAGGGCTGCATGGGATGCTGAACATGCCACAGAACCAGATCCTCATTTGTATACGTGTCATTCTGGTGGATCCATGAACCCAGAATCCACTGTGCTGATTTCCAAGGGAACAGAATCAAATCCTTTTGCCATAGTCTCTCAGGCGAGTTGTTCACCATCCATTGTCTTCTGTATTTTAGGGCAGTTTCATTTCATTTTGCAGAGATTAAAGTACCCAGCAGTGCAGCTGCTCATACAGAGGGGTCAATCCTGCAGACCTCATTTACGTGAGGACTTTCTCTTGGGGCAGTCCTGGGGCAATCAGTGAAACTTCTGTGATGGGGAGCAGAAAAGTTCGTATTTTGGATTATGTTGCAAAAACAAAGGGGGAGACTAAAAACATGTTGAGTCCTCGTCACTTTAGAGCTTGGTTGCTTGTCCAAATGTTCCCTTTTCCTGTTGGTTTAATTCTGCCGAGGCTCACACACCAATCCTCCCTGTGCTCATGGCAGTGCAAAGCAGAGCTTCCAACAATGCCATCTCTCCAGTGACTTCAGGGGAAATACTCCTGATTTACACCAAGGGTAGAATAAGCCTTCCTACACAGGCCTGGTGCGAGCAAAGACAAACCTCTTCCATGCAAAAAATCAGGCCCAGCTGAGTGCAGCAACCGCTGCTTTCCAGGCATGTTTTGAAAGGTTCTAATAAAACACTCAAGGGATTCTGCTCCAGTTTAAATACTGAAATGTGCCTCCTCTTCCCCAAAAGCATGAACAAGAAGTACAGTAAATCAGCCATGCAGCTGCTACCGCTGCAGTTACAAGTAGTAAAAATATATGCGGGTCTAGGGACTTCTCTCGCTAAAACAATTCTTTGTCTTGATGGCTGCAGCGTACTTTGGGAGAGAACATTAGCTGCCCATTAAGCAATGCAAAGGATTGCAGTTCGTTTGTAAGTTCCCAAATTGCCCTCTTACAATGGGTTTTAAGAAAGAGACTAATCTGCCAGTTAAACACGAGACTCCCATGTTGTGTTTGGGTTTTTCTTCTCCCTCTATTCTGAGCATGGCATATTTTAAATCATTTGGAAGCAGCAGGAAGTCAGGCAGCTCAGTGGCCTCCAAGCCAATCTTTCTTTCTGGAGTTTGTTTGAGATGGAGGTATCGGTACATCCAGTCCCAGCTCAAACATCACCCCTGGCACCTGCAAAAATAAAGAGGTCTGATCTTGCACTGTTACCAAGTCTCCAAGCATGTTCAAAATGCAGGGTTGAGCCTACTGATTCTTACTAGCATCAAGGAAGTCCCTGCAAGACCTCCTTGCAGGCTTGGCTTTTGCTGCAGAAGAAATCTGCCAGGCAGAGAATGGGGGGAGGGGTGCCCATCTCCTGTCCAATGCCCCATATGTGCAGTGCTTCCCTCCTCCTATTCCAGGGCAGTGCTGTAAGTCATGATCTTCAGTGCATTATGAGATGCCATTTGTCCCATCCTTAGCCTGCCATTTCACACACTGACTGCTTTCACCACAGAGATGTGCAAGGATAGCTGAAAGGTAGGGGGCTGAGCAATGGGACCCTGGTCTTGACTCTGCTGCCAGCTCACTGAGAGACTTAGCTGAACTGGTATTTGCAGAAACAGCTTCTGATGTTGGGTGCTTGCATGAAGCTACCTGGATGTTGATCCTCTTGACATCGCCCTTGGCTGGGATGGGCTGGACTAGGACCCAAAATCAAAGGAGTCTTTTGAAAATGCTGAGCCTTTACCTTAACGAACCTTGAAATGTGGCTATACTCATGTTTAATAACCAGTAACTGATTAGTGCTTGGCTCATAGTTGTTAAGGTCAGGTGGGCCCATTGTAATCCACTACTCTGACCAAATGATACAATGGTTACCTCAGGAGAGCAAGCAGTATTGGGTCATTCTTTGCTAGATGGGTATTTTCCAGCACCAGAAAACAGGGTTTGTATTATACCCAGCAGTAGAAACACTGGCTGAGAGCTCTGTTGTTGGAGTCCAGCATGGGGATGTGATGAAACAGCAGGCCAGACTGATATGGCCTCTAACCTTGTCTGCTTTGAAGCACCCTAGATACAGCCCAGGTGTCTTGATGCATCTGTCTCCATTCATCCCCAGCTATGACAGAGGCGCCACTGTGGCCGGCGTGGTGGGTGTTGGGCGGCTGATCACCGGCATGGACCGAGGCCTCCAGGGGATGTGTGTAAATGAAAAACGGCGCCTGATCGTCCCTCCTCATCTGGGTTACGGCAGTTTAGGAGTCGGTAAGTGGGCCCACATCCTAACCATCACCCAGTAGTCCTGCATGGCTACCCTCACACCGGCAGAGCTCTAGGAGTGCTGTTGGTGTGGGCAGGAGAGGGTGTCCCTCCTATCAGCCCTTTGGGAGCCCATACAACAGTAAAATGAGCAAGGTGATTGTGGGGCCACCTTGCCTCCCACATCACAGACTAAATCCTGTTGGGTTTTCAAGTGGACATTAGGGCCAAGAGCAAGAGTGGGTTGCCCCGTGATACCCTCCATGCACCCTCGCTCCACTTCCATCTGCAGTGCTAAGGACCTGTGTGCCTAGAGACTTCTTTGAAGTCAGCAGGCTCTGCAGTTCTTAGGACATCCATAGGCTGTTTTCCCTTTGGGGTGGGTTGTTCTCCTTACAAGGTGGGCATGCTTCTGCCACTGGTGCCTGCACGAGAGACCCAGGACTGGACCCTTTGCTGGGGAATACATTGCACTGTACTAACCATTGTCCAGTCCCAACTTCCTTCTTCCCTGAGCAGCTGAGCTGCCCCTATGGGCTTCACAGCCAACTCAGCCTGAACCACATGCAGACCATCTGCAGCTGTGACCACAAGGATAATGAAAGGCTCCCAGTCCTGGAGCCTCTGCCAGACCCAGCTCTGGTGCATTCAGCCATCTCAGGGTGAGGCCAGTCTTCCATTTCCCTCTCTTACTAAACCAGACAGCAACAGGGCCTGCTTATTCCAACTACTCATGGCACTGAGATTCCCTCCCTCAAGGTGAGTTTATAATAATGAGTATAACACCCAAAAGAGGATGGGAGGAGCAATTCCAAGGTCTCAGCCAATAAGGAACACATGAAAAAAAGAACAACAGGCTGGTGGAAGCATCTTGCCTAGGTACTTCAGGATTCCTTGTCCCAGAGCGCAGCCCATATATGGCTTGGGCTGGAGAGGCCCAGGGCCTCTTGCAATGAGAGATAATTTTGAAGATGTTTTATCTCATCCCTTAGCCACACAAGGTCATTACAGACCCACAAGCAGGACAGACAAGAGCATCATGTCTAGGCAGAATTCACTGAGGATATGAATGATTCACTTCCTCTTTTTCTCTTGGCACATTCAGTTGGATGCGAGTTTTTCGTAGCTGCTAAACATCTGCTACATTCACGTCCAAAGGTGGCTGGATTTTGGTGCCAAACAAAGCGATCTCACCTTATGTTGGGTATGACTAAGCCTAATAAACATTCAGAACCTGACATGAAAGGTGCTAAAAAAGGGCTAATTGCTGTTTATTCCCTACTGGTAAATAATCATCAGCATATCGAATAGTAGATCACTGTTTTGCTGTGATGTGGCACATATTCCTTGAAATGCAAAAAACAGCAGAAAAGGTGAGGGATCCAGTAGGAGTGATTCTCTACTCACCAGGGCTGCACAGGTTCCCCATACAGGCACTCTCTGTTCCAGTTGGAGGTGGGTGGAGGAGGGGTGGGGCTGCATTTGGTTCAATTGCAGAGAAAATCCAGGTGTTTTGTGTGTCCACCACCTGATGTATGCTAGTCAAAGTCATCCCTTGTTAAAGTTCAAGTGATCCTACTTGAGATCTGAACCCGGGCAACCTTCAGCACTGAACTTTTCAGTTGCCAGGTCCCAATTGCTCTTCTCAAAGTTGAAATAGAGATTCCCTGACTCTACTCTAGACCAGGCAACAATGGGGGACAGAGACCTTCCTTCTCCCACTTGCGCGGTGACGATAGGAAAAACATGTGTCCAACAGTAGTTGTGGGCAGGGATCCTGTGTGTGGGTGTCCTGGCTCTGCAAACAAGACCCACCAGTCACTGTGGGGCCAGGTCCCGTATCCCACTGGGCTGACCTGTTCTCCTCTGTCATTCCCTACAGCCGGGCTGATTCCTCCTGACACCACCTTGTATTTCGATGTCATCATGCTCGACATATGGAATAAAGATGACAAGCTGCAGATCGACACCTTGTACAAGCCAGACCATTGTAATCGCACCGTGGAGGACTCAGACTTTGTGCGGTACCACTACAATGGCACTCTCCTGGATGGCACCCCTTTTGACTCCAGGTACAGGATACCAGGCTAGGATGGTGCTGGGGAACAGTGGTGATGAACTGCCAGCTGCCTGCCTTGAAGATCAACCTGCGTCAGTGTGGCAAGCAGGTGGCTCCAGGGGTCAAACTTTCTCACACCAATATCCATCACTCTTAATTAACTCTGTGGCCCCTTCTGCTTGGGATGCCTGTGCTGAGCTAGTAGGGTTGTGGGGGCTGCCTATCCCCCAGGGCGCTTCTTCCTCTTGTCTCTTTCCTGTTCTCTCCCCTTTTCCAGCTATGGCAAGGAAGGCACATACGACACCTACGTGGGAACGGGCTGGCTGATCAAAGGCATGGACCAGGGCCTGCTGGGGATGTGTGCTGGGGAAAAGAGGAGGATCACCATCCCCCCATTCCTGGCCTATGGGGAGAAGGGCTATGGTGAGTGGAAAGTCATCCCTTGACCCATGTGGCAGAGTCCCCTGCCTGCTCCACTGAGCATCACAAGGAGAGGACTGCAGGCACTAGTGCCCTGCTGGTACATGGTGCAGCCACCAAGATGTCCTTTCTGGAGCAGCCAGGCTGGGGGCTGTTGGCCTGACAGAAATGGGCAGGAGAGGGACAGGTCCCATCAATCATAGCAGGTACCAACCCACCCCTGCTTCCAGCATGTCCCAATAGAAAGGTGTGATGAGGTTCTGAGATGAGGCTACCAGCCTGAGTCAGGCAAGTGAGAGCATTACATAGGCCCAGCCTGGGGACCACCAGGACAGAGGTACCACTGCAAAGAGAACAGAGAAATGGACTGAGGACTGGAGGGGACTCAAGGAGTCAGTAATGGGTGGGGAAGCCCTGCAGAGGCTCTTGCCTCAGATCTTGGGTAGACTTCTGGTGCTGCCCATTGTGACATAAACTGTAGGGAAGATTGGTGTTGACACCAGAGCTGACATCAAGTCTGACCCTTTACCTGGGACAGAGCTCACTGCATCCTGAATTTGGGCAGGCAGAAAGAACATGCCCAGGCCAGCAACCAGGGCCTGAGCTACCTGAAGGTGAGGGAAGTGGGTAGATGGGATCCTTCTCAATAGTAGATTATTCCATCCTGTCTATTGATAGCACTGCCTGTGTGGTGGTGCTGGGGGAGCCCAGCCCAGTGCCTACAGAAGGTGCACAGAACAAATGTGGCCACCTGTTGCCACCAACATGATGCTGTGGCACATGCAGAGCTCTAGGCCCAGCGTGCTGTGCTGTATCACAAGCTGAACAGAAAGAGCGAGCACTACACATCAGGGGACCCCCTTCTGTACAGAACATGAGGGGTAGCTACCTGTATGCAGCCACCTAGCAGGCTGCAGCTCTGTCCAAGGCCCCTACCCGGTTCTGTCCCTTCAGTTTTCCTGGGTGCATGGTGGGGCCTAGTTCTGTGTGAGGCTGAGGCTTTTGGCTAATCCCCCACTAGGCACAGTGATCCCACCCCAAGCCTCATTGGTGTTTGACGTGCTGCTGGTGGACCTGCACAATCCAAAGGATGGTATCGCCCTGGAACACCTGGAGGTGCCAGAGTCCTGCAAGCGCAAGACTGTGACTGGGGACTTCATCCGCTATCACTATAATGGCACTCTGATGGATGGGACCCTCTTTGACTCCAGGTACTGGGCAGGAGACAACAGGGTCTCCACACCAGCATGCTCTGTGTCTGGGGCCCCTTGTACTGTCTCTGTGCTGTGGCCAGCTCAACAGAGGGACTTGCCACATGGCTCCTGGAATCCTTGCACTGGTCTCAAGGGCAACTGGCATGGTGGCTTCTTGGCTGCCCCTGCTTTCTGGGGAAGAAGTGGATGGTTGGATCCTCTTGGGTAACAGAAAATTCAGACTGAGAATGGAGCAGGTGCCTGACCCCCATTATAGTCAGCCCCAGGCTAAAGGGAGCACTGACCTCAGGGGTCAGGATCTCAACCAACAAGCATGGCACCACTGGGTGCTCTGACTGCCCAGCACAGTGGGAGTCTCTCACCAGCTCTTGAAGCTGGTTCATCCAAGGGTTGTGCTGCATGCAGCATCCTCACCAGACTGGCCCTGCATGTGGGCTCTGGCATGCAGAGAGAGTCTGTGGGCCTGATACAGCCGCAGAGCCAGCATGGGGCCACATGTAGGATATGAGGCCAGCGTCAGTGTATAGTGCTGGCAGTGCATGGAGTCCATCGGAGACCTGCAGACTGATCCCCCTATTTTACATGGTCACCAGCTCTTTCCAAAGGGAACCCTGCACCTCCGTCCTTCCCAGAGACATGCAGGTGTGTGGGGGGCCCTGAATCTTGGTTGCTGTGGGCCAGGTACTGCTGAAGAATGGAGGGTCCAGGTACTCTCCCATCTCAGTGAGTCATGGCTAGCATGCCCCATTCACATTGGATATGTCTACGCAAGATGTTTACTGGTAGTATACTAAATAGCTGCACAGTAAACATCTCAGCATCTACATGTGCATCCCTGTTAGGCTGGAGTAAACTAATTTACTCTTATATTTACAAATACTATCCTGCTGTGGAGTAAAAAAACCCCCTCAGCAGCACACATGTAGATACTGCCCCAGCTGGCCAGGGTACAGAGGTGCTTCAGTGCAGGGATTACCTGCTGGCCAGCCCCATGCTGAAGCACCCTTGTGCCCTAGCCAGCCCCTCCGCAGCACATTGAGCCAGGGGGAGCAGGCTCCAGTTGGCAGGCTGACCCCTCAGCTCCCCTGCCAGCTGGGGCTACTCCAACCTGGCTCAACATGCTGCAGTCCCAGGCATGTGTTCAAACGGCATGTTTGGGAGCAGTAAACCCCAGAGTTTATTGCACATGTAGACATGCCCAGTGAGAACGTAGGTGTTCAGGACTGGCTGGAGCCTGCCCTCCCCGGCCATGAGATTGGGACATTTCCAAATGTGGGGCATTCACCTAAGGGGGCATGAGAAGCCCCTTGACTTTTTAGCCCCTATAAATGGATTCAAATTCAGAACACAGCCCCGCACCACTATGTGGCCGGACAGACACATTCTGAAGTGGAGAGGCCCTGAGCTTGATTAGGGTCCTGGCAGGTCACGAGCACTGGCAGAGCTTGGGATGTGGGTTGGGGTCAGGGCAAATAAGTCTGGATAATCTTGTGACCTGAAGGTGCTACTGTTGCTGCAGTTACTCCCGTAACCACACCTATGACACCTACATCGGGAAGGGCTACATCATCCCTGGCATGGACCAGGGCCTGCAGGGCGTCTGCGTCGGAGAGAAGAGGAGGATCATCATCCCCCCACACCTGGCATATGGGGAGAATGGAGCAGGTAGGGAGGGGGTTCCTGGGGCAGGAGAATGCCAGGACTGGGGAAGGGGCAATGTGTGACCCCTCTGCTTGTTGCCTGGACCCCACACATCCCCTCACCAGTCCCACTATCTCTGAGAGTAGAGCGGGAACTTGCACCCTGGGCCAGTTGGAGGAGTGAAGAACCAAGCTGGGTGATGCCCTGGAGAAGAAGTGAGGGGCTTGCTGTACCCTCCATGGTCAGGATCTGAGGCAGCACAAAGGGAGCACAAAGTGAAATGGAGCAGAGGGGAACTCTGATGGGGAGATGGAGGGGAATGCATTTCCCCACAGGAGAGGGGGAGGGCCTCACACTGGGACTCTTAGAAGAACTCTGGTGAGCAGGGTATTAGAAAGCAATCCTGCCCTGTTCCCTGGGGGCAGAGCCAGGAGAGACTTTTCACAGCCCCAACCTCGTTGGTCCTCCCGAGTACTTCCCCCGAGCCCTTCACGAGCCTCCTTGCACTTCTCCTCCAGGTGACAAGATCCCTGGCTCAGCTGTCCTTGTCTTTGACATCCATGTCATTGACTTCCACAACCCCGAGGACCCAGTGGAGATTGAGACCCTCTTCCGGCCTGAGGACTGCAATGTCACAAGCCGGGACAGGGACTTCATCCGCTACCACTACAACTGTTCCCTGATGGATGGCACCAAGCTCTTCTCTTCGTGAGTTGCCTCTCTCCCAGACTCCAGGGGACACCCTGAGGACAACCTGAACCACTCTGTCTTTGCAGCCCCCCTTTTGTTTCCAAAATTGCAGCCACCTGAGCTGCTGCAGGGGGATCATGCTGACTGCCATGGCACCACTGACAGTAGGCTTGTTAGCTCTACGCAGCTAAGCAGGATGGGGTTTGGTGAGGATCTGGAGGGACATCCACAAGTTGCACAGGAGGTGGCAGCAGGACTGGAGGGTTTTGGGGGTACCGTTCCTTTAGATTCAGGTAAAACCTGGGAGGCAGAAACAGCACTTGTTCAGCTCACCAGTACAGGAGAGGCCTTTACAACCAGGAAGCAGATCCCTGCGCAGAGATGTGTATAGGCTGGATTGGGGCTGAGGCCTGATGTTTTCATTGTCTCCTGTAGCCATGACTATGACAGCCCTCAGGAAGTGACCCTGGGAGCCAACAAAGTGATTGAAGGGCTGAACAGAGGCCTCCTGAATATGTGTGTAGGGGAGAAGCGAGTGATCATCATCCCCCCACACCTGGGGCACGGAGAAAACGGAGGTGAGGGGCACATGCCTGTGAACCAGGGTCTTATTGTAGCAAGCTAGGGTCTTACCTGGCCCCTGTGATGTCTTGGCTGACCCCCACCCAGTGTAATACTCAGAAGCTTATTCTTACACTTCCTGCCCCAGTGGGCAGAGAATCAGACTCCACGACATGTGCCTTTTACCTTTCAGCCCGGGGGGTGCCAGGCAGTGCTGTACTCCGGTTTGAAGTGGAGCTGATGTCCCGGGAGGACGGAGTCCCAGAAGGCTACCTATTTATCTGGCATGAGGACCCACCTGAGAACCTGTATGAGGAAATGGACCTGAACAAGGATGGCGAGATCCCACCTGAGGAGGTATAGGGGGGAGAAAAAGGGGGGCAGGGGAAGGCCACCCCAGAGGGACCTGGGGATGCTGGAATCAATTTAGCTCTGACTCAGAGTTGAGGCTTTCCAAAAGGGGGTACAGAATGAGGCTGCAAAGGTACCCAGTTGGTATTCAGTACCTATATTTGGTCCCCAGCACTGTTGCAAAGTGACAGTGTTTGTTAGCGCTGATAGGTGTGAAGCTGGTAGCAAAAGAGGTCTGTCACAAGTCAGCCCAGCAAGCCTCCCAGCCAAACACGAAAGCCACAGCCTGGAAAGGGCTAGTTATGTGCCATGTAGCAAGGCACTTGTGCCACCAGGCATGCCAGGGAAGTCACAGCCCAGGCCAGGAAGGACAACAGGTTAGATAGTGCCTGGCTGCAGCCTGGAAAGGAAAGGCAGGGGGGGGCTGCAGGTCCCTGCCAGTCTGCCCTGCCCTGTCTCAAAAGCCTGCAGCTCTGATTTGTATTTGCAAAGCCTCCAGGTGGGTTTTGAAGACAGAACCAACAAGTGCATTGGAGCCCAGGGGACCAGGAGAGCAAAACTCCTCTACCAACAGTAGTGTGCAAAGGCCAGACCTGCCTGGCCATTGCTCTCCACCCCAGAGCTGGCTGCATGAGAACATAACCATACTCTGCCACTTGGAGCTTGCTAAGACCCCTTTGTGCTGGGGGGCAGAGGACAAGACCATTGCAATAGTCACAACATAGCAAATTGTTCTCACCTCTCCCTGTGCAGTTCATCACCTTCATCAAAACCCAAATAGCAGAGGGAAAGGGCCGTCTCATGCCTAGCTCGGACCCGGAGAAAGTCATCGCTGACATGTTTCAGAACCAGGACCGGAATCAGGATGGGAAAATTACTGCTGAGGAACTGAAGCTGAAGACAGATGAGGATCAGGAGAGAGTCCACGAGGAGCTCTGAGGGGCAGCTGGTGCTCCTGCTTCTGCCAACAGAGACTGAACCTCCTTCCTCTCTCCCCTTGGCGCAGGCTGTTTCCCCTCCCCACCAAGCCTGCATCCAGGCAAGCCAGCCCAGGCAGTGCGGGTCCGAACCCTCTGCAGAGGTTCTCTCTGAGCATTTGTAATTTTTTTTTTAAAACTATTTAAACAAGTTTTATTTGGGGAGTCTCAAACAGACCAGCAGAGGGAACACACACACACGCATGCATGAGGAACATATACATTAAGTAAGCAGCCAGAGGTTCCCACATTTTCTGGTTCTTCATTCCTTATTACCAACAGACTAGGTCCAGCCACAACCTCTGCTCTAGGCTTTCTCCCACAGCCTATGCCCTAGGCTGCAGGAGAGCTATGGGACAGCTCATCCCTGCCCCCTGCTTCCCCACAGCTCTTGCATCCTCGTGCTTTTAGACCCAACCCAGACCTTTTCTTTTAGTGAGTCACTCTCCCTGGCTTTGCACTCTCTGCTGGTCCCCTCTGAAGCCAGAGAAAAGCCTTTCCAGCCTGTTGTGCTAGGGCAGGGTGTCTCCAGGGCCCTATCTCCATCAGGCTGGAGGGGAGAGGCCACATTCTCAGTGCTTGTGGCCACAGACTAGTTTCATGCCCAGAAATAGTGCTGGCTGCATCCTAGCATCTCACTACTTGTCTTAGTGCCACACATCCTCACTTCAGGTCCCTCTGGGGACAAGCAGTGGTGCTGGGACTCTTTGAACTTGGTAGCATCCCCCAGCTACCTCAGCCACCCCAATTTCAGAGCCAGGAGCTCCCATGCAGTCAAGTTGCAAGCTAGACTGTGAAGTTATTACCCAAGGGCCCCACAGCCTCCTCTCCCCTCAGGCTAGCCCTGAGGACTTTTCACTACCACTCACCTAAGCTGTCTGATTCCTCCAGTGACACTGCTTGCATGCTTCAAAATTGCTGATCAGAGTTTTCACTGCCAAGTGGGAAAGGCAGTTACCAGCTTGCCTACTGGTTGCAGAGCATTGGCCAGTCAGAAGCTGCTTAGGAGTCCCAGTGCAGAGGGCCAGCTGGAGCCATACGCAAAGCAGTCCCTTTGCTTCAGCTGGATTCTTCTCACAGCACAAATCCAGTAGAGGCTCCCTGCTGTGCAGCACCTTTCCGTTTCCTCCATAGTATAGTAACTTAGGGATTCGCCTCTGGCTGCAGCTTGGATTGTATGAAAAAGAAAAGCCAAGGCCACAATTTTCCAAACTGGTGAGTGTTCTGGGGCAGGGAGTGGGGAGGTTGGTTTTAGATGAGCAACTGGAGACCATAAAGGGGCCTGTTTTGTTTTTTTTTCCTGTGGGCAGATACGCGGCATTTCCAGAAAGTCAGGGACTTTTAAGAGGTCTGACAATGGGCCCTTGAAATCACTAGTCATCAGGACCCAAACTCTTATCCCTGGACTCCTCCCTAGAAGTGGGCTGATTTTTCAATCCGTCTGAGCTTGCAGACAAATCCAATTGATCCCAAGAACTGAGATTCTTCAGCCCTCTGGGAAATCCATCAACTTCTATTTAGCTCCTCAATAGGATTCAGGAGCCCCAATGTGAGGCTCCTTGGTTTGCAAACAGTAGCCAGCCCCTCTCCCTTTCCTCTTCATCAGTTAAAAGGTTTGCAAATAAAGACTGTTGGGAGAGTGTTTGTGCCACCTGCTGGGCAAAGATCATGTATTTGATCTTTTATTAGAAGTGCAAGCTCTGTCCAAGATTAAAATAAAGTCCTCAATAGCAAGGTTTACTTTGCACCCAATAAATGGATTCCAGCTGGTTTCCAACACATCTGCTTGCTGTCCTGTTATTTTGGAGTGAAGTGTGGTTTGCACCTGTCTGGCTAGTGAGATGAAGATAGACCACCTATCCATCCTAGCATTGGCTCTAGCAATGGGGGAAGTTCTGGAGATCTGGCTGGATAAACCTGCTGGCCAAGCTTCTGGCATCTGCAGTGCTGGCTGGGAAATCCGTGCGTTTCTGCTGCTTCTCCCAGCTCCAAGAGGAGACTGCTAGGTTTTTAAGATGTCAGTGGATCTCTGTCAGCTGCACACGTCAGCCTGGTTTTTGTGTGGGTCATCTCACTGCCCATTCCTCCCCCACCACACACAGCTGCCCCCATAGTCCCTTGGGACAGATAACTGGCACCTGCAGTTGTTATAGTGTGGAAAGATGCTGGTCACCAGCAGTGGAATGGGAGGGGCCTGCTCACAGGTTCTGACTGCCCTGTGCAAGCTTCTTTGCATCATCCAGCTGACACTGCCAGGATGGGGCAGGGGGTGAGGCACAGCAGAAAGTTGCTCCAGTCCTGCAATGCTTCTGTTGCTATGGCAGTGTTGCCCCAGGTGACTGCACCTGGAACACAGCTGCAACTTTGCTGGGGCTTTTACCCATGGTGCAGAAGCATCATGGTTTAGGGAGTCAGGAGGCACAGCTGTCCTCTTCAGCTCTGCCATGGGCTTCTTGAGACATCAGACAAAACACCTGATGCCTTCTGCCTTGGCTTCCCAGCCCAGAAATGGGAATAACTAGCTCTCCTGCCTCTGCAAAAGGGATGCTGAGAAGTGCAGTTCCTTCCTGGGTTCTCTCCAGCAGCTGACCTTACAGCTCATGCAATGGACCCAGGTGCATACAAATGACATGTGCCTTTTTTTTATCCAACATATTTATTTTAAAACATGGAATAAAGCCCACATCCAGCTGTGAAACAGAGAGCAGGGAGTGAACCACATAACTGTGAGAGCCCAGGCCAGAATTTACAAGCAGATCAAAAAGTGACATTTCTGGTATCTAACAACACAGGGAAATAGGCTGTGAGCCCTCCACAGCAAAACAACCATGAGACAAAGGGCACCACTGCTCCAGGGACAGGATTATTAACAATTAGCAGAGTTAAAAAAAATAAGGTTCCTTCCATCACAGTTGGGCCGATGAGGCAACTTGGGGAAGAGATATAGAAGCCACTTCTTATGCAACTCAAGCTCCTGTATCTTCCAGACTAGTGTGGAAGGAGATAGAGTTTTAAAAGGTGAATGCAGGAACTCTGAGAAAGGCTGTGACCCCAAACTGTTGCAGAACACATGCAAAGACCAGCATGTCACAGCCACACTGACAAAAAACTACTTGTACCTTGGATGGTGCCATGCTTGGAGTTTAAGATTCTGGTTTCCCCATAAGAGTCAAATGCCAGTGAAGCCAGAGCTCACACCATAAGCTGGGTACTTATGAAGCCACCAGCTTTCATGCCAAACCCCACACAGGGGCAAAGTACCAATTCCTGACTGCAAACAGACTTTAGAAAGTATTTATAAAGGAAACTTCACACAAGTATAAACGCACACATCTTCCAGGTCCCAGCTCTGTCCTTGGACTGTGCTGTCTCAGAAGATAACCATCACACCAGTCAGAGAATCCCCACTCAGTCACCTCCATTTCAATCCCATCCAGCTGTCACTCCCAAAGGGAATCCTGGAGAACAGGGTTGCAGAGGGTGAGGCTGTTTTGTTGTTGTTGTTGTTGTTGTTGTTTTGTTTGTTTGTTTTTTTATGTACGATCCATGTATGTATGATACATGGGAAATTTTACAAAAATAGAGGCTATTTATAAACACACAATATGCTGCTTTTAAAACAAGACAACACACAGATCACTCCCTCCTCCTGCCCCATAGCCTTCAAACTGACTACCCCAGAGCCCTACAGCTGTGTGGCAACCAGTGCACACTGTACCCTAATGTCCATCACCTCAGACTCTATCCCCTTCAAGACAAACCTATTTCCTGGCAAATTAATTGCAGCTTCTGCAAGCCAAAGCCCAGCCTGAAGGGCTGAGGAAGCCTTGCATGAGCCATTTCCAAGTAGGATTCATTGCACACTTCAATCCAGTCCTCCTGCCATTTGGAAAGCCACTAAGCAAAACCCTCCTCCTCCCTAGTAATGGCTAAACCCAGGTGTCATCCCATGAGCAGGTAGGAGGCAGTCAAAGAGCAGGTACCCTGGAGACCATACAGCATCAGGACCACACAAACCCCTCAAATTCCGGTTTTCCATGTTCCAAGTTACAACTTTAAGGCCTCCTCCTATGCACACGCTATTGCACGCCTGTGCTCTAACACAGCTCTTTTGCTCTTGCTCCAGGCTCAGTTTCTATTGCAGAGGGTCTGTACGCTCAGCCCTTCTGGTTTCCCAGGGTGCAGGAGGATCAGAGCAGTGCGCTCTAAATTAACTCACAGGCAGCATGTAACACCAGAGGGCAGCATTGCAAACAGACCCCCAAGATCCTAGGGTAGAAGCAGCAGAGCACTGACCAGAGAGCATAGAGGAGCTGGCTTGGCTACAAGACAGCAGATCTAGAGGGTTTCCTCAGCAGACGACCATGCAGGCACTCACCCATACCAGCAGGCAGCAGGCTAAATGGCTGCAGTGCCACTGACCCACTTGGTACAGCACAGCCTGGGTGCTTTGCAATTTGCATGCAACACAACCAGAAAACCAAGAGCGAGGCAGCTGCTTCCCTACAAAGGGAGCTGATGCAGCAAAACCCAATAGGCCCAAACCAATGGAAGAAGGTTTGTCTCCAAGCCCAGGGCTCAGCAGAGATCCTACTTCTGTGTGCCGCTGCCAAGGGTGTCTCCATCCAACATCCAGTTTGCTTCAGAGCTGGAACATCTATAGGCCTGGAGCTGTGTGGGTTTGGGGTTGCAGGTTTTGCAGTGGTGTGCAGAGATCAGGGGAGAGGGCAGTCTGGAGGAGCTCAGCCTCTAATTCCAGCATTGACAAAAGGAGCAGTTTGATCAAAGTTGGTGATGGACACAACACAAGGCTGCCCGGGGGGTGGGAAGGGGCAGCTGCCAAGGGCATCAGGATGGATTTAAAATGACATCAAAAAATCCCTGACTGAGCAATGGAGAAAGTGTCCCTAGGGGCCATCCTGAGAGGCCTGAGTTGGGATCCCAGGTCCCACGCTCAGGTTTCTGTGAAGATGTAGCGAAGGATGCCATTGACCACGTCCAGCGTCTCGTCTCTCTCCAGTACAATGTCATAAGACTCCAGGTACTTTCCTCGATGCTCCTCCACCTGCAGGGAGGGGATGGGGGTGAAGGGTTAGCTGCTGCAAATCAGCACATCCTGCCCCTACACCCAGATCATCAGAAGAGAAACACAGGCAGTGTTGGGGACAGGTACGAGATCAGCTGCCCTGGAGGAAGCAGGCAGGGGGATGGACTCCACTGACTATCGCTAGGGCAGAGCCTGACAAAGCAAGCTGTCCTTACAGTCTCCCAATGCAATCCCTCAGAGCCGCCATTGGAAATGACCTCCTTCTAGGAATCACGGGATCACTTATTCCATGGCTCAGTCAGCCCTTGCATCTCCGCTGAGGTGGCTAGGGAGGGCATCAGTGACTGTGATGGCTGATCGCATGAGGTGGACACCCACCCACCAAGAACTTGACTGAAGCCCATCAAACCTCTCTCATACACTTCCAACATTTCCCTGCACCATGACACCTCACAGTTCCTCTACTGAACACCTGGGCCATGCCAGGGCTCACACTGGTAGAGTCCGCCCGTTTCCCAGGTCTTGGTCCCTGCTCACCTTATCATTCAGGAATCCAATCTTGAGGATGTTCTTCACACTGGTGACCCCATCTGCCATGGTGAGGTCTCCTATGGAGTCTCCCAGCAGGATGATACTGGTCTTGGTGCTCAGCTGCTGGAAGTACTCTGTATCATTTAGGACCGAGTTGTTCTTGTTGTAGGTGTGGATCAGTGGACTTTTGAAACCTCTCAGGATGCCCTGGGCAGCACAGGACAAACAGACAGGCTGATCACTGGGCGTCTCAGGGCTGAAGGAATGAAAGGTCAACAGCAGCTTTCTCTAGGAGGGTAGCTGTCCCCCTACCTCTGGGCCCTGCTTAAGAGCCACCCTTATATTCAATGAAGGGCTGGGCACAGCACCAGAACCCTTTGGCACTACTTTATGAACTAGCCAGAGATGGCAGTGCCCCTTTCTCACCATGGCACTCTCAGGAATTGAAGGCCTGTTTCTCAGTGACTCAGTCCCCTTTAGGTCTCCCTGGGTGTACAAAGGGCTGTAAGGTTGTGCAGAAACAGTCCCCTGGGAATGTCCTTTTGCAGAGCGCCTTCCCCAGCTGGCAGAGAACAACGTAAGGCTTGTGTACGAGGGTACAACATGAATATGTGGGAGCCTGGCTGTGGGGGCCCTGCACGGGGCTATGCTCTGCTTCTACAGGACCACAGGAAGCAAAGAATAAATCTGAGCAACCCTGGGGCCAGCCAGCCCAGCCCCAGAACTCACAGTTTAAAGCCACCTGACTCTCCCCTCTTCACTGCCCCTGTCTAGCAAGAACCGAGTCACTGGCAATCAGACCCCAAACACCTAATGGCAGGAAAGAAAAAGTGGCAGGTGGTCAAGACTAAGGCTTTGGTTTCATTAGAAAAACACAAAGCTATTACAAAGCTCACAGAGATTTCCCAGGTCTCAGCACATTCCAGTGAAAGCAACCTGCTGTGCTGCTTTCCAGGGGGTTGGAGGCCAGACAGGACCATGACCCCTGTTGTTTTGGGCCTCAAACAGTACCCCTAGGCCAATGCCTGAACAGAGAGTAACAGTAACTCAAAACAGAGGAAAGAACAGCAGCCCAGGTTCTTTGTATGTGAAATACAAAAAGATGAAGGGCTACTTGTATCTTTTTTCCCTATCCTTGTCTGCCTGGCTCTTGGCAGCAGGGATTTTCTCTGACTGTCCATACAGTGCCTTGTGCAATGGAACCCTGGTCCCATGGAGAGGAATGGGAGAGGGGGTTACTGCAACACAAATAATAAAGGATCATTTTTAAGTGATCCTACGGTTAACAATTGAAAGGGTTGCCGTAGCAGTAGGGAATGACAATTCTATTGAAAAAAAATGGCTTTGAACCCAATGATGCCCCTCCCTAAATATTCTCCCCTCCCTGAACTCTGTGCCAAGGAATTGCTTTTCTCTGCAGAGTCCTGAAAGGTGAAAGGCAAGGAATGCAGCTCACATAGTCATCAAAGTCCATGTAGTTGGACACCACATTGATGTTTGGGTGGAAAACATTGGCCTGGTGGATAATTTCTTCCAGGATATCACCCACGCCAGCCGAGAAGATGAACACGGGCACATTGTTTTTATGGAGCTGATCAAAAAATTCATTGAATCCGTCCCTAAGAGAAGAAGTGGAAAAATGCATCACAGCGTCACAGAAGCACCTTTCACCCCAGGGTCACCAGCAAACAGGAAGACTGCAATGTGGTAAGTGCTTTCCTCTCCAAGGCAGGGTCTTCTGCCATGTGCCCCAAGCCACGAGGGATCTCCTTAACTTATGCACCTCCCTATCAGGCCTTAGCTTTACCAATCAACTTTGCACTGTGGGTAAAATCCAGTGCTGCTCTACAGGCCCAGATGAGGGCTCAGGTCTCCAGGGGTTAATCAGGGCATGGACCTTTTACTGATCCTCTGCACTAGGCTGAATTGTGCCCACCAAAATCTTTTTCCTCATGATACTCAAAAACCCTAAATCTTGTCCCATAAGGCACCAAGCTCCATTTAAAACCTGGGAAGAATGCTCTACAGATGACTGCTCCCACAACTACTCCACCATCCTGGCCCCAGACAGGAGAGACTGGATCTCATTTCTGTATTTAGGACCTTCTGTAAATGCTTACAAAGAGTTGGGCAGCAGTGGAAACTGAGGCACAGTGGGGGGAAGACACTTGACCCAGCGGGTCTGGAGGAAGGAATTTAACCCTGAGAGAACAACATTCCCCAGGAGGAGCACACCTGCTAAATAGACTGAAGATCTAAGTCCAGCTAATGTTGCTAGCAAGGAAGACTTGCTCCAGCACCCCCTCCTCTGTGATCTTGGTCAAGTTGCCTGTAAATTACATAGGATTGCCAAGCTGGTCAAATGGTCAATTAATCCATCAAATATTATCAATTGATTCGTCAAAGATTATTTAACCTGTCAAAGATTATAGAAATGTTACCAAAAAACTACATTTTTTGTAGTTTTCTTGACAGAAATATAATTTTTTGTTGTTTCCTGACACATTTCTTAATGGAAATGTGTGCTTTTTCTGTGTATTATTTGGATCTATTGGCTTTTTTTTTTTTTTTAATTACAATTTTAGACCTATATTTGATAGATCAATTGACCAAACTTAATTTGACCAGTCAAATACCCAACCCTAAAATTACCTACAGGGAGCATGGTGCTTTGCCTGCCTTAGAGCTGTCAGAGAGCAACTTCCTATAGTAAGACTCATGAGCCAACCAGGATCAGATGGCTGAGGTGCTGGGAGTCCAGTTTCTCAGAACCACCCCAGCAACCCTGTCCTGCCTGTTGGCCATCTTCTCTCTCCAGTCGGCTCTCTCGCAAGCTCCTCGGGCCAGCAACCATCACTGTTAACGTACAGGCAGCATCTAGCCCCCCGGAGGCCCCAATGCTGGCTAGAACCTCCGATGCCACCACAGCACAAAACAATAAATACTACTATCAGTGGGACCCTGTAAGCAAGCGAGCATAGGAGTTTCCCCTGCATGCGCTGCAGCACATCAACTGCTACTCTGTGGCAGTGCCCCAGAGTTGAAATCCCTGCAGTTACTCAGATGCTAACAGGTGCCTTATCTTGGGCTGTGCGGGTGAGCAGACCCCCAGCTACTTCCACATTTGTCATCTGAGCCACACAGGAAGCTTCTGTGTTTCTGTAGCTGTGGGTCTCAAGAAAGAGAAAGAGTGGCTTATCTTTAACAGGGCAGCAGTGCTTGCCAGCCACCTCCCCCAGTGGCAGCTGATGATCCTGCCAGGTTACACTAAGCTGGCTCTGCTGATAAGCAAGGTGGAGATGGTTCTCTACACAGGAAGGACTTGGGTTGCAGGCTGAACAGTTCTTAGAAAGAACGCTCAGGCTGGAACTCATGCGACTGCCTTGTTTCTGCTTTGCATAAAGCCAAACTCCCAGCAGGTGGTAATTTTGATCCATCATACAGTGAAAGTCCTGTTTGGAAGGGGCTGAGAGATGGATCAGAGCTCAGTTTAAGGCCTCTTTTTTTCTCTTTTGCACCCCCAGGTTCTAGATGGCACAAGCAGGAGCATGATGAAGACCCTCAGCCATGTATTCTCAGAGAAGGGCGAGGAGAGGACATAAGCCATCCCCAAGTGTATACCTCAGCATCACCTCCGATTCTTTGACTATCTGGGCAATGTCTCTCTTCAGAATCTTCTGCTCAGATAGGAGGTCATGGGCCCGAGTCCACCTGGAAGCAAATAGCAAAGTGAGCTCCGTCTCCAAGGCAGTCAGGCAGCCTGCATGGAACTGTCCTCAAGGATGTTATAGAACCAAATCATCTCCATGGTAAACAATTGCCTAAACAGAGCTATGACTACCTCCCTGCTTCACATGTATGGCTTGCTATGGGCAAGCAGCTGCCAGGAGAATGGGAGCATTTCTTGAATCCACGCATTTCTTTTGCATTTACCACCCAGGTAATCAGGATGTAAAATACACGTCTAAGACTGGATGTGCTGTGTCCACTGAGGCCTCTTGCCCCAGCACTCCTCGATTCAGTTACTACTGATCTATTCTCAGTGCCCAGTTATCAGATGAAAAATACCATATTCCCCCCAAAAAATCGGCCTTGCAAAATCAGGGCGCATATCTTTATGCACGGAAGCCGAGTATTTTGGAGCTGAAATGGGAAAATGGAAACATGGATAGCAGCTGTAATAACTGGCCACTTTTCTCCATGCTGGCCACAGGGAAGGAAGGGTGGAGCCAAAAAACAGCCAAAAGCTGCTGCTAATTTGGGAGCAGCTGGGAAAGGATTAAAACTCCAGCTTTTGCTGATGTTGCAGAGTGCACTCCGCCTCTGCAATCAGGGCTCAGCATGCATGTCTGATCTGGGGGCATTTGGTATGCAGGAAAATATGGTAACTTATCTATCACCACCATATCAGGTGCTCAGGGATCCCTTCTGAAACTGGGCATGAGCAGGTAAGCAAGCTGAAACCACAGCTACATCAGGCATGGTGGCACTATCACTCAAATTAGGAATAATGAAACTACATGCCTGAAGGAATATGAAGGAATTGGAATTTGCTTGTCAGGCATGAAACCAGGATAATTTATTGCTGCTGTAAATCTCAAAGGGCCCTTTTATAGTTTCTGTGCCCTGCTGTCAAGGGCAATGCATTCTCTCAGCTAACTTCTTGTCTTTTTTGTCATTGAACTTATTGGGAAAGTTAAACTGGGAGCTGCAAGTTTTCAAATGAATCTACCTAACGATCAAATCGACTGAGATGTTCTGGACAGTTTATGAAGCCCGAATGATATCACACTGGGACCATGACGTGCCAAGGCATTCTGCATAAGAGCCAGTGAAAGAGGCAATTACAATCTTTTCATTCTGAGGCTACAAGGCATTAACTTTGTGCTGCCATAAAAAAAAAAAAAAAAAAATTATGACAGTACAAAAGACAAGTGAACTGACATGAAAACACTTTGTTGCACTACAAGTGCTTACGTTTTGTAGTACCAACAAAGGTGGTAACAATTTGTGCCAGTTTTTTCTGGCTGACTTCTGTTCACTTACAGCAGGAGAGTGTGGGGTGCCAGTAGTGGCCTGGACTCTCCCACCACCCCAGCCAGGAACTACTTTGGCTTGAAGGGACAGATCCTGGGGGAAAAGAGCCCTGGGTGCCCCACCCAGTTTTGGTACATGCACCTACAAGCAGGGAAAGCACAACTCTTGGGGCGTGGGGGAATCCTGCAGCAAAAGGAGAAAAATGCAGTGGGGTAATCATTCCCCCAGCACAGATTAGCAAGCGTGGAGTGGGGAACCTTCCCTAGCAGTTCCTCCTCTACTTCCACATGGCCTCTGCCTCAGGGATGGCAGCATAATAGGTGTGCTGGCACCTGACATGCTCTTCTCACTGCTGCCCCTGGGTTGCCGCACTATGTGCAAGTGGAAGGGGAACCCCTAGGGGAGCTCCCCACTTGAAACCCCTGCGGAGGGATTCCTCCACCCCTCAAAAGGGGGGCATATCTGCAAGCATAGGTTTTCCAGTTGCAGATGCATGCCAAGTCAGAGTGGAGCACATGGGACCCTTTTCCCCACAGATCAAGCCCCTGAAAACCTGGGGGCAGGGGACTGACCCTGGGGGACATCTGTTAGACATCCATGAAGACATCTTCTACTGCAATGTTTCATGGCACAGCTGATCGTGCTCCAAAGACAGCATCTATTTCCAGCCCAAGACTTGTTAGCTTTTGCAATTTCAGTCACTCACCATTCAACCATGAGAGGGCATTTCTCTTCCAAAGTCCGGTTGGGATCGATTTCAATGGGATAGTAATACTGCAGCAGATCTTTTAACTGGAACGTTTGACAAGTTTCAAAAGAAAGTGCAATAAGTACAAAGTCTCTAAAAAACAAACCAAGGAACTGCACATTCGCTAAATGCATCAAAGTTCAAAATCAAGCCTGAAACAGTTTGGTAAATGAACACAGGGCTTTGGAAATATAGCTTTGGAAATCCTGCCAACACTGGGCTTGGTTCAGATGCTCTAAACTCAAATGAAATGTTCCTTCCTTTCTTGCATCACTGTTCCACCTGCCTTGAAATAGCCACGATTAGATAAAAGCTAGACAGCAGATTTGTCAAGTCTCCCTTATAGGTCTTGCTGGAAACACTGATCAGTATATACTGCTCACACAAAAGTTTTGCTGAAGTATTGGTCAGCTTAGGCCTGAGGAGCAAACCTTACCCTTGCACGAACTCTTTATGTAAGCAACACTTGGCATGAGAGCCAGAAGGGCACTCCGGTGAACAGATGGGAGGGAGAGCTGGCTATACAAGCTATAGGATAGTCCAGTGCCTGAATGATAAGACTAAAACAGGAACACCCAGGACAGGACCATCCAAGAGATTCAAGATACAGATGGAGCACAATACATAATTTGCTTTGATCATTTTCTAAAAAGAGAATTGGAAATCAAGGGAACTTTGTAGCAGCCTAAGGGAGTCTATGTGGTGGGGAGCTGACTACCTTGTCACAGGTACAGATAAATGCCTTAACTCTTGGTAGGCAAAATGTGTTAGGGCTGTGCTTGTAGACAATAAACCTGGCCAAATCTCTGCCACTAAACTGAGCCTGTGGTCATTCTTTAAGACAAGACTGGTGTTGGAATCTCCTGGCTGCAACTTTGTCAACACCGCAGTTCTTGGGACAACAGTGACAACACATCAATAAAATCCTATGAGGACAACAGCAACAATGACACTAATCAGCCTCAATGACATCCCTCATCTCCGCAAAGTGCCTGCATCATCTTTGGCTGAACTGTCACTGGAAGCTGGCTGTTTTCTTCTTTGGAAATGGGTGCACATCTCTGCCCCAACACTATGTTCTATCACATTCTACATGTGGGCCAAGAAAGCAGACACCTGGCAGGTACAGCAGTATGCAAGCAACAAACTGCACTGTATCCAGAGTTAAAAAAGACAATGCCTTACCACTCAAAACATACCTCTTTCTTGCCTTCTTCAGTAATGACATGACTGTTATCTAAGATATCTGCAAAGACAAAAACAGTCACTTATATGGACCAGAAATACCATCTTCTCTGTCATGCAGAAGGACAGGAGTCAGCACTTCCAAAAAGAGGGGTTCTAGGTGCCCAGCTTCAAATACTTTAAAAGGGTCCGACTCCTCAAGAGCAGTTACTCTTCCAGGACCCTTGAGTGCATCATAGTCTGTGTCCCCTCTAAGCACAGAAGCCCAAATTTGTAGTCCCCTCTGAAACTCTTTACCAGGCTTCCTGCTTATGTCCTACTGCAAAT